GCCACATGCTCGGGGTGTCCCTCTTCGTGCCTCAAAGCCAGATGAATTGTCTGGTGCCTTCTGTGCAACTCCTCTGAGGGAAGGTGCATTGGTCCGATGTGGGTCATACAATTGAATGTGGGTTTGATTGTGTCATATGTTATTGGCACAGTGCACAAGCGGCATAAAGAGAGGCTCACTGAACGGCGCCTGCAAAAATACATGAACACATGGGGCAGCTGTATTCCTTCTCTGATGGCTAGACAGCATGCAGCTTTCGGACACTACAGAGCACTGTCCGAGCATCAAGCGCTTCCAGGTGAAACACCGCATTACAATGCAAGCAGCAGCTGCCAGCAAAAGAAGTATAACAGGAAGTATTTTTGTATGTGTTTTTGGTAGAGGTACATTGTTTCTATATAATCGAAGGTGCTGGTACAAAGCACGCTAAAGGTCATGTTGAAGAAAAGGCCCATACGACTTGACTATCAACTGTTCTTTGTTAGTAAAAGATGTCTTTTAGGAAAATCAGGGGCACATAGGCAGTTCAATACATTGATTAATTGTGGTCTGCGTTTGGAGATGACCTTAGTTGAAAAATACATTCCTTCCAAGCTCTTGACCACTCGTTGCCGTAATCGGAAACCATGGATGAACAAGGAAATTTGAAATTTGAGTTGTAAAAAATGCCGCATATTGAAAACATCACACTGTTTATGAAGAAATGTGTAACCTAGGCTACACAATAAAGCAGGCGATTAAAGTGAAAGAACAAATATAGATTTATTCGCTTGATGTAAGGCTAAATCCCAAAGACTTCTGGAAATGTATTAAAGCCAATAGCAAGGAGCTCAGCACGATACCCGATCTATTAGTCGACGGTCAAGCAGTCTTTGACAATTACGAGAAGGCTCGTGCTTTTGATTCCTATTTTAAATCAGTTTTGTCTAACAAGTGCACTAATCTACCGCATTCAATGCCAGATTTACCCTACGAGAATGTGCCCATGGTTACTGCAACGTAAAATGTTCTTAAGCTGCTTAATAACCTAAAAAAAAACAATTCACCTGGATGCCTTGATGGCATACCAACAAAGGTAATTAAGGCATGCACTCAGGAAATTGTCAATTTTATAGTCATCCTGTGTAAACAAGTCTGTACACAGCAGTTCAGTTACAACCCAATGGAAAGCAGCAGCTGTTGTTCCCATTCATAAAACTGGTCCCAAACATTCCATACAGAACTACAGACCAATCTCACTTGCTTCTGTTTGCTGCAAAACATTAGAACATATAACTTATAGTGCTGTGATTAAATACCTCCAAAACAATAGTTTCTTCTCATACGCTCAACATGGTTTCAGGGCTGGCTTGTCGTGTAAAACGGCCCCGCCGCGGTGGTATAGTGGCTAAGGTTCTCGGCTGCTGACGCGCAGGGCGCGGGTTCGAATCCCGGCTGCGGCGGCTGCATTTCCGATAGAGGCGGAAATGTTGTAGGCCCGTGTGCTCAGATTTGGGTGCACGTTAAAGAACCCCCGGTGGACGAAATTTCCGGAGCCCTCCACTGCGGCGTCTCTCATAATCATATGGTGGTTTTGGGACGTTAAACCCCACATATCAATCAATCAATCAATCAATCATGTCTTGTAAAATGCAATTAGTTGAATTCTGCCAATATCTTTGTACTCAGACTTTGGCTTTTAACTAGACTGCATTTTTCTGGATTTCAAAAAGGCTTTAGATATTGTTCCTCATGATTTGCTATTGTATAAACTTGTCTCTTTGTATTCATATTGCTATAGTCGATTGGATTAGAAATTACCTCTATGGAAAGACACAGCATGTGTTGATCAATGGTGTTAAATCAACAAACAACCGTTACCTCTGGCGTGCCACAGGGATCTGTTTCAAGACTTCTGTTGTTTCTGGTTTACATTAATGATATCGTACGGGATCTACAATGCAATGTCAGATTATATGCAGATGACTGCATCATGCACAGAAATATAACAAACGAACACGATGTTAATAGTCTGCAAATCGATTTAAACAGTCCAAAATTGGTGTGGCAAATGATGTACGTCTTTAGTCAGTGCTAAGTGTCAATTCCTCTGTAAACGTTCCCCTGTGACATCTATTATTTGGATCATATATCACTTTAACGGTTGCAACACTGTAAATATCTTGGGGTTTATTTTTCAGAAAATCTGACCTGCACTAGACACATTGAACATGTTGCCTCAAAATCTTCCACGATGCTTAACCTCATTAGATGCAATTTTTACAATGCCCCCAAAAGTGTTAAAGAACAACTATAATATGAATGTTTGTCCAGTTCTTGAGTATTCTTGCACAGCCATGGGACCCCAACACCTCATGCCTTATCGATAAACTGAGCATATCCAGAATCGCACAGCCAGGTTTGTCACTGGTAATTTCACCTATAAAAGCAGAATTTCAATATTGAAAGACAAGCTTGGTTGGAAAATCCTATCTGGACGCCGCCTTACCATTAAATTGGTACTTTTTTTTCCAAACTTACTCTGGTCTCACAGGAGTGAATAAAAACTTGTACCCCCCCTCCCCCCCCCCCTCACTTCATCTCTACACATTGGAATCATGAGTATGAACTTCCAATCCGCTGCCACGCGAATATGTTTTAATTTTCTTTTTTTCCTCACACCTCCATGTATTGGAACAGACTTCCAAAGGGTATATCTGAATGAAGTGAAGGAAGTGCTGCTACAATTGCTCCAAACTGCTCCGAAAAGAAATGCTGCTTCATGCTTAAAGTGCTATATTTGCTAGTAAAAAAAAAACTTCTCCAAACCTGCTCCAAAATAGTGTTGGCAAACTAAAGAGAAGGAACTTGAACGACGGGAACCATCTCGTGAGCCTAAGCGAAACCAAAGGCAAGCTATATGCTATCATCCTAGTATGCTACTCAGTGGCGTGAATCCTGAAAAATCGCAAGGGGTGACACGTATCAGGCCTTGCTGACCTATTCATATTTTCAATGTGACTTGTATCTTTATATGTATAAGAATTAAATCATGCTTTCAAAAAGAATCGAAAAAGAAAACGAGCGTCGCGTTGGAGCTCAAGCGATTGCATTGTTGTATTCAGTCTCTTCGTAATCACCTTTTTGAGATTTCCATAGTTCACACAGTTCACACAGCTATGCAGCAACAGATACAAAACCTTTTAAAAAGTTTATTGTGCTATACTTAACTGTTAACAAAATTATGTCACGTGCTAAAGCTAAATCTCAAGAGGGATCTTGCAAGGGTTGTCCTCCTCAGCCTGAACACAAAGAAATGTCCAGACTCCCTTGACCCCCACCCCTCATGATTTACGCCAACGATGCTATTATCCGGCTTGTATACTAGCTGCATACAAGCATATGGCATGTGTAATAATAAATATAACTATTTATTAGATGCTTAAGGGATGTTTTAGACTTCAGGAGTAGTTAGGAACAGGCATCAGTTCTGAATACGCCAATAGCAAGCCTTAGCTATAGCATTCTTTTCTGCTCCGAAGACAATTAAGGCTGCACCAAAGCAGCATTTTTTCTGCTCCAGAATCTGCTGCAAAAAGCAAAATGTTGCTTCCATCACTGTGAATGTAAAACATCATCCAAATTCCAATAGTTTTACATTCTAATCTCTCGTCAGATAATAATTACCTGTCTCCTTGCTTTTGCTGCCCCGCCACGGTGGTCTAGTGGCTAAGGTACTCAGCTGCTGACCCGCAGGTCGCGGGATCGAATCCCTGCTTTGGCGGCTTCATTTCCAATGGAGGCGGAAATGTTGTAGGCCCGTGTGCTCAGACTTGGGTACACGTTAAAGAACCCCAGGTGGTCGAAACTTCCGGAGCCCTCCACTACGGCGTCTCTCATAATCATATGGTGGTTTTGGGATGTTAAACCCCGCATATCAATCAGATCTGCCCTTGGTATGTCACGAATTGCTGTCTCCCTGCGAAATCGCACTGCCATGGCACTTCATGGAGAAGCCGTTCTTTAGATATGTAAACTGAAAGTGTCTTTTTTAAAAGAGAGACTAAATGCAAATAACAATATATGTTAAAATAAAATATCAATGTTTTGGAATGTGTAAAACATCAATATTATTAACAGCAGTGCTCTACTAATTGTGAAATCGAAGCAAATTCTTGACATCTCATGTGCCACAAGTGAAACATTTTTTAAATGATCCGAACAATGTGAGAGCGTCAGACTACAATTAATCACTGGCAATCAAACTAGCTGCAGTAAAAAAGAAAACAGCGCTCATGCAATAAAACACGTTAAAAAATGCCACTTGTCAGTTTCTGGTTGATCTAAAAAAGAACCCCCTGGCATTGCTATGGGGAATGGCACGAGTGGTTCAAAAGTTCTGTTTTTGCCTGGTTAGGATGGATAGGTGGTGCCATTTAGCGGAGACCACTTGAGCCAAACTAACAGAAAATTGTTCAATGGTCCTTGTTGCTGCTGTAGCTCCCACTACTTTCTCACTGCTGGTGCTAGTATCAGAGGCCGAGCAGTAAAGGCAGGCAATGTTGGGCACGGCAACGCTGACATCAGAAAGACCGGTTTGAGGCAGGTGATTTGAAGTGCGCTAATGCGGTACGGGCCACTAAAACGTAATTTTATTTTAAAATAAGCACTTCCTTGTCACAAAAGTAGTGCTGTGATGTTTATGGAACGCTATTTCAACAATCAACATCAACCTCTTTGGGAAAACCTGTGCTTTTCAAACGTTCAACTTGACAGTCAAAGCTCTACTTTATGTAGTGGTGGCAACTCTTTTGCAGTGCATTAAGAAAACGATTACAATCGCTCTGACGCCAGCAAGGACCAAACATTGCAACGTTTAAGCTTGAAGGTTGCAGGTTTGGTCCTTGCCAGCATCTAGTTATGCACTTTATTGTCTTCACATTTATGACATCCTCTATACTTCTTTTGGCACTATTGTCTGTATGCTTTCATTGCATCTTTTGCTTCCTTTTTAAAAATAGATTGACCCACTCCAGGAGTACATCCGAGCCCACAGCACTTGTGGAACAGCAGACTGCTTTGTCATTAATCACATTTATTCATTCAGTGATAGAGGGGAGGTGATTTACTTGAATACAAAATGGCAACATCAACCCATCAATGACATTCGTGTCAAGGCACCAATAGGTATGTGTTTTCACTTACAGTAGATTGTTTGAGGGGGACTTCATGAGACAGTCATTTTCTCTGAGCTATTTAGTGGAAACAAAAATAAAATAAATTGTTCTTATGATAGAGGCAATCATATGAATATAGTTAAAAAAGAATACTGCATTTTTCAGTGTGTAAAGTGCACCACTACTTTTTACAGTTCTAGTTAAAAAAAACTTATTTAACACTGATCTCTTCTTAATATTGGTTAGGATGATGAAATAGCATTATGCATGCTTGTACACAAATTGTGAAGTGTGTTTTGTCATGGCACTGTATTTATGTAAACATAATTCTTGGAAGCGGCATAAAAGCAGTATAAAACCATGAATCAACACTCTGTAAATCTGAGATAGAATACTCATTTGTAATCTCTAAGTTCAATGGACTCCTTAGGCCCGTGTGCTCAGATTTGGGTGCACATTAAAGAACCCCAGGTGGTCTAAATTTCCGGAGCCCTCCACTACGGCGTCTCTCATAATCATATAGTGGTTTTGGGACGTTAAACCCCACATATCAATCAATCAATGGACTCCTTGGAGGATGGACTTCAATTATCTCATTTGACCCAAATGCCTATAATCTCTAATTGAAAAGTTAATTATTTTACTTTATCAGATTGCTACCATAATTACTGTATCTAGTCATCTTAAAGGGGCTTTGCGACATAAATTGTGTGTGTCGTTTTCATTGCTTCTGGATCTTCGAAGTAGCAATCCGAAAAACAATGCTGGTACAATTTTATCACAATGGACAAACGACATTAGTTTTGAACTAGCGCCCCGCCACGGTGGTCTAGTGGCTAAGGTACTCGGCTGCTGACCCGCAGGTCGCGGGTTCAAATCTCGGCTGCGGCGGCTGCATTTCCGATGGAGGTGGAAATGTTGTAGGCCCGTGTGCTCAGATTTGGGTGCACGTTAAAGAACCCCAGGTGGTCAAAATTTCCGGAGCCCTGCACTACGGCGTCTCTCATAATCATATGGTGGTTTTGAAACGTTAAACCCCACAAATCAATCAGTTTTGAACTAGAGCATGCAACGGCTATTTTCCGATCGGGGGTGTCGTTCCATCACGTAGGAGTGACATCGGCGGACCGTTTTGATTGGTTTGATGCGACAAAGTAGCATGTAATATACCGTCCCAGCTAGGCCTCACTGTTGTGCTCTAAAATTATAAAAGCACTATTTATACTTCTTCAAATACAAAAGTATTTGTTTTTCAATATTAAGTCTTGAAAACACTTCAAAAATAATGCAAGGGGTACTGCACACCTGCCACCTTGAGGAGAGTCTTCCAGTATATTTTTGTAAGAGGTGCGCAGTAATTGGAAATGGTCCTTCATGTCAGTGGAAGAGTGAAATGCACTCTGCCGAGGTGGTTTAGTGGCTAAGGTACTTGGCTGCTCACCTCCAGGTCACGGGATCGAATCCCAGCTGCGGCGGCTGCATTTTCGATGGAGGTGAAAATGCTGTAAGCCCGTGTGCTGAGATTTAGGTGCATGTAAAATACCCCAGGTGGTCGAAATTTCCGGAGCCCTCCACTATGGTGTCTCATAATCATATGGTGGTTTTGGGACGTTAAACCCCACATAGCAATCAATTGAGAGTGAAATGCAAAAGGTAAAATTGTTTCTTGCCTGCTGGGGTTTTGAAGCTTGAAAAACAATAACTTATATTATCATGCGCCAATATCAATAATTCTTGTCGCATTCATCTCCATATTCAGCACTTCACATCAGCAGTGCAGAATGCTGACGAGAAAACGTTGTAGGGCCCCTTTAACATGTCTCGCACCACAATATATCTAAGGTCCAATGTTGTGTTAAGACGATCGAGAGCAGGGACTGCTTCTTGAAAAAAGCGGTTTGTTAGAAGTGAAGTAGCGCGCACTCGCCAGACAGCAGTCTTTTCTTCTTTTGGCATTTGATGATATTGATACACGTAGAGTTACAATTGAAGTTGCAGACACCCTAAGGCCAGTGCGACACAATTGGTTCTGAGCCCGAGGCACTTAACTTCTTCTATGGCTAGAAGCATCCTCTAATGGACACTGGCGCCAACACCCACGTAACATTAACTCCCAGCAGCAAAAGCCCCCGTCCCGGTGCATCGGATCGGTGAACATGACTTAGGGCTTAGTTGGGAAACATGCACAGTTTCAGTAGCTGGTGAGGTGGACGAGGCTTGGGGGTTAGCAGCAAGATCTTGTGACTTCAGTAACTCGGCGAAGAACTTGATAAGGCCTGACGTAGCATGGCAGGAGTTCTTCACTGAAGCTAACGCAACACGAAAGCAGCCAGAGCAAGACCAGGGAGCCAGGGCTGAAACTCATGTCGCGATGGTGACTGTTGTAATGACGCTTTTGGTTGGTCTGAGATGCCAGGAGTCGATCACAGGCAACGCGCCCTGCTGTAGCCGCGCGAACGATGGCGTCGTGAGCGTAGTATGTGGTTGAGTTTGCCTCAAAAGGAAGTAGTAAGGCGAGAGCAGGTCACGGTCATACAACAGAGAAAACGGAGAATAACCAGTAATGTGACGGGATGATTATAGGCAAACGTCACGAATGGTAACGTGCAGTCCCAATCCAGGTGGTCCTCAGACACGTACATGGATAACATGTCCATGAGTCTACGGTTCAAGCGCTCAGTAAATCTGTTTCTTTAAGGATGGTAAGCGGTGCTGAACTTGTGAGAATTGCACAAGAGCGGAGAAGGTCATCGACAACTTTCGAAAGGAAATACCGATCTCGATCAGTCAGTAGCTCACGCGGGACACCATGGTGTAAGGTAACTTTCTGGAGAAGACAGTCAGCGGCATTGGTTGCACAGCTTGTAGGAAGGGCTTGCGTAATGGCATAACGTGTTGTATAATTAGTCGCTACGGCCACCCACTCTTTATTTGAGCTGGTCAAATATCTTTGCTGTTACTTGTAGCACTGCCCTTTTCGTCAAGTACGGTGTATGTGTTAATGATCCTCACTTTTCAACAGAGATAAAAATCATGTCCTTTGAGTGTTTCCATATCAAGCCCAGAGTCATTGTAAACCCTTTAGATCTCATGTCTATGTGAGAGTTGTCCCTTTTGTTTTCAACTGTTATTTTGTTTAACCTTTCATTAGATGTTCATTTTCTCAAGTTCATTGCTGCCATTTCGGCTGTGGCGGCTGCATTTCCGAGGGAGGCGGAAATGTTGTAGGCCCATGTGCTCAGATTTGGGAGCACGTTGAAGAACCCCAGGTGGTCGAAATTCCCGGAGCCCTCCACTACGACGTCTCTCATAATCACATGGTGGTTTTGGGACGTTAAACCCCACATATCAAGTTCATTGCTGCCTCATTAAGTGTTGCTACTCCCAGAACGACGTCGTCCACATATATCGCTTCCTGCAGTGTACTTGTGTACGGAGAGCGGTTTTCCACTTGTTTGAAATGGTTATTAATTGTAGCTGCTAGCAGAAACATGCTTGGTGGTGTTCCCAACGTAATTCGCCATGTGTGCACTTCATTTAGCAACTTTCCCTCGGCCTCATGCTTCCACCATAAAAATCTCATTGCATCTCTATTCTCTTCATGTATGGAAATTTGTAGAAATGCCTTTTCAACATCTCTTACTAATGCCACCTTTTCTTTCCGGAAATTTTTTAGCAACGACAGCATGTCCTCATTCAAATTAGATCCTGCCTCTAAAAAGACGTACTTTTTCGAGCTTGGTCTTCTCAAATGATCACATCATGTGGCATGTAGTGGCAAAGTGCATTTTGCTGTTCTGATGGCTCCTGAGCTTCTTCTGCGACTCCTGATGCCATATACTCTCATATAGCTTTGTAGTGAGGCATCACGTCCTCATTTTTCTGGAGCCTTTTCGTCAGTTGCAGTAGTTTTTTCATGGCATTTTCCTTATTGCTTTTCAAGTTGGCGTCCTGTTTCTATGGCAAGCTGACTTGATAGCAACCGCTTTGTTACACAATCTTAAGCTCGAATTCCTCAGCAATTTCATTTCCTGTGTTATCTGAACTGTTTCTTATAATCTCCATTAACTTCAGGCTCCAAAACTTCTCTAGCTTTTGCTGGAGTTGTGTATCCGCCGCTTCGACCTTCAGAATCATCACTGCTTGCTTATGTGTTAGTCTTGTCTTGTTTTGCTCTGACAGACCTTGTAGTACCCATCCCAGAATGGTCTCCACAGCCATCAGTCTGTGCTCGTTTCCCCAAGTTCTACCAGTAAAGAACTCCCAATAGTAATCTGAGCCGATGAGTAGTCCTATAAAATCTGTTGCAGTCGTCTTAATCCTGTCATCCGCCACTTGCATCTTTAGCTGTTTCATTTTCTCGCTGAGTTTATGACTAGGAACGGGTATACAACTGTGGGAGATATCGGCTTGTCTCACTTCAATCACTGTTGTCTTTCTTGTTTCTCGTGGCCCTATAAACACTTGCACAACATTCATTAGCTTGACCTTTTCGTTTCCTCCAAATGAACCAATTGTCAGTTTCCTGTCACAACACCTTTGCACCTATCTCTTTTGCTAATCAAGCTTCAATAAATGAATGTTGACTTCCGCTGTCTATTAGTGTCAGCGATGTCCGAATGAATGTAGTCAAGGCAAGGTTCAAATTTCAGGAAAAGCTGTATTGTGCTAAGTTACAGGTGAATCGGCAGTGGTTGCATGTATAAGGAAACTGGACTCGGTGCAGGAGCTCGATCGGCCACGCCCGACGCCACTCGCGTCCCGGCTCGCTCTGCGATGCGTTTGCTCTGCGGTCCCGGCTCGAATCTCAGCTCCTTCTCCTCTCTCTGGCGATGCGTTGCTATGCGGTCCCGGCTCGAAGGCTCATTTTTGTTTTTTGAATGTTCGTTGAACCAATGGGCATCCGCGCCGAGTGGACGCGCTCAGGGCTCAAAGTCCACGTTAACGCAGTGCAGCGTTTCCCGTGCAAGCACGGAGACGCTGCCGGAGAATTCAGCTGTGCGAAATCAA